TCCTCCCGGTGCCCGGGAACACGCGGGCCCAGCTCCAGCCCGCAGACCAGACCCCACGCGCTCCGGGCTCCCGCCCTAGCCTCGGGGGCTTGGCTGCTGCCGAATACTGTGTTCACTCTGCAACCTTGGGAGATGCTCTGTGTGTGTGTGTGTGTGTGTGTGGTGTGCGTGCTGTGTGTGTGTGTGTGTGTGTGCTTTAAAGGAAAAAAAAACGGTGCCTTTCCCACCGTTTGCAAAAGACTTTCTTCTCCTTTGCCACAGCAAACGGAGATGAGAAACAGATGTCTTCGCAGGACTAAACAGTTATTCTCCCCTCGCCGCCGGCCCCGCCCGCTGCCCCCCACCCCCACCCCCACCCCAACTGCGTCTGTATAAAAAAGCGACCTTGGTCCTGCAGCAACTTGAATTGGCAACTCTTTCTGGGTGGGGAGCCTTCAGGGAAACCTCCCAGGGGGTGGAAAATAAAAGGAGAAGAAAAGTAATAAAGGAGGTTGTCCTTTGTCGAGCGAAATGTAATTTAAACCCCGGGATCACATTATTTTGCCAATAGTTCTTTTCCCCGGAATTGGGCTCAATTGGAGTTTGTTTTTTGAAACATTAATTCATAACTTCTGTCTAGGGACCCCTCCATAGTCGAGATGGGTCATTTCAGGTGTAATGAAGGCAGAGGCTTAGAAGGCAGAGACCTAATCAAGTTCGGGAGAGGCACCTGCACAAAAGTGTTACAAAGACTATAATGTTTGTTTACTGCTACTATGCCAGATGTGCTAAATATAACACTTCCTTAAAACAGTGATCCTCCGACTGTGAACAACCAAACCTCTTGCTGCCTGGCACCCTAGGAACCGAGGAGACACACAGACTGAAAATCAGAGAGGAAAGGAAGATCAAGGATGAGGATTAGCATCTGCAAATTGAACTCTATCTAATTTGCATGTTTATTTCTTAGAATTGTAATTAAATTTGTGTAATAAATGTTTTCCATTTCATTTGTACACTTAAAATTTGGGAGACTGACATACAGTTAAGTGCTTTTTTTAAAGCACATGTGATTTATTCAACAACACAGCCAACAAATATTAAGCATAATTAGAAGTAATGTTTTGAAGGTATTTTTGTTGAACTTCATACTTTAAAGACTCTCAAAGGTTTTCAGGGAACTGGGAAGCTCAGGAAAGGCAATTAGGTTGCAAACAGAATAACCCAGCGGACGTTCAGAAGCATTATTTCAGGTTTTCCAAAAAAACATTCCAGGATTGGATGCCTAAATTGGAACTCAGGCATCTCTCTTAGCTTTTTTCTGAGCCTTTAAAAATTGTGTTGGCTCGGCAATTGTGAGGGCTTTGATGGCAATCATTAAGAATGGCAGTGGTGCCATTTTGTGCGACCTGTGGGGACTCCGTGCCTTGGTGAGAAAGGGTCCAAGGCATTTAAAGCAGTGCCAGTTCTTGGAAATCCAAATCCGTGTCTAACTTGAGTCAGGAAGTAAATGGGAGGGCTTGGAGGCATGGCTTATTATTGTTTTTATCTCCCTATATTAAAGTTTTATAGCATTTAAAGGACTGTGGGGAAATCCCCATGTACACTTGGCTGTGTCAAAATACATAAAACCAAAAGGAGCAAATTAAGCATAAAATTGAGAAATAACATGAGACCAAGTATCAGCATGGGTTGCACTGGCATCTTTGGAGCTTTGGCTCTGAGAAACAGGCCTTCTGGGAAATTGGCATTGCCATGGGCGGGAGGACTCTTGGCTTTAATGTTCCCACAAAATGACATCACAACACACACATCAAATCATTGTGCTTTACAGCTCCCTTGTGAATCTGTAGGAACTTGACCGCCCTGCTCGGATCCCTTAGGCTAGCAGGTTTAATCGACAACTTTCCCTGCTCTACTTTTCATCTCAAGCTTCACATTTTCTGAAAGTCTATGCCCAACTGTTGACATCAAGAACCTGTGCCCACGAGTTAGAAGGTGGTAGTTAAATTTTCACTACACTGAGAAGTAACATGTAAACATTTGATTCGAGCCAGCGGTGGC